ATATTTCTCTAGTATCTCGACTTTGCACCCCTCATGGTTTTGTCTGTATTTATCTGATGAAAAAACTATCCTCACGAAATATAGCCTCCTACTCTATACACGCATCATCAATCATGCCCTATATTTCTCAATTTTATCAAATCTATCCAAAGTGAGCAACTCAACTCATAGAGCTTTTAATTTGATGGCTAACCAACTAACAAAGCCTCTTATCCACTAGAACTCCATTCTCACCCCTCATAGGTTTATCTATCCTTATCTGATAAAAAACAATATGTTCATGCTATACAGCACTCAATTCCTGCCTCATCAATCGCGCCCATCATTTTTCTATTTTATGAATTCTATCCCTGGTAAGCAGTTCAATACATAGAGCATTCAATATGATGGCCAACTAACTAATACAGCTTTGGTAATCTGCCAGAGCTCCATGAATTCTCTTGGAGTGATTCAAATATTAGCTTATCTAGCTGGCTCACACCTTAAGGTTTACTGCAATCTGTATCACACTAAGTACTCTCAGTCAAAAAATATGGTAAGCTGTTTCCTAATTTCAGCTCAAATTCTTCAATGATATTTGATAGCTAATTTGATGCTCTCCCTTTCCTGCTTATAGCTTCATTTTAGCTTATATCTTCCTCTGTTCTTAGCTCTTTTTCCAAATTGTTTTACTACTGGTTGAGCTTTATTATTGCAAATAAATATTATACACAAATTCATTCCATTAACATGTTTTTCCATATAAAAATGCAATGGTATTCACATTAAAATTGAGATCCAAGATCAAAAGCTTTGGAATCTTGATTTATTTGTGATTGTGTTTGTTTCAAGTTGCAGCCAAAGGCTGGTCATATCACTGGGCTGTAGTCCTGTATGATAGAAAAAGTGGGATTGTGTTCATGTCATGCACTATAGCAAGCACATAAATTCAAGACCCAGAGAAGCACCTCTCTGCCTTGACAAAAACATGAGTTCATATGTCTGAAGTAGGATTGGAGGTCAGGCTATCCATAATAAAAAAATTCAGGTGTATGTCTTGGCTGAATCAATGTAGATTGTAGTGCAATACTTTTTATGTGTGTATACATTTGTTGGTGATAGGTTCTGAAATCTATGATGGGTGGTATATGTTAATGAACAGGAAGAGAAAAACTGAAATGGATGGGCCAGATGAAAATAGCTGAGGATGTCTGTGAGGGAGTGCATGTGACAGGGAAGATGGGGGAGTTGTTCCAGCCAGAGATGTGGGATACTACAAGTAGTAGTAGAAAAGAATGATGGGGAAGTTTCTCTGTTTGCAGCATCAAGAAGAACCAAAATTTACTAGATGAGAAGAGATTTTCAGAAGAATGGGCCAAAAAATCGTTTCTCAATTGTTCTCTGATAGAAATTGAGTACAAGGTTTAGTTTGTGTCTTTGAGAGGGCTGTGATAGGGACCAACTTTAATCAATTGGTAGCTGGTGGACTTGGGCTGAAGGGAACTGTGATGCATTGAATATTTGATCTTCCTGGTTTAGGCTGACTGATATATTAGGTGTAATCTTTATCATCACATATCAAGGCTTGATAGATCCATCAAAAACACAACCTTCCTTTGTGTCCTTGGACAGTTTTGGAATTTTGTCTCTCTCTTCTCATCTATAAAAAAACTATCTATCACTCTTACTAATTAGTGATGTTTAGATGATATAATATATTTAAATTAATATGTCTTGTAAGTGTCTGAGTGGCATTTTTTCTCATTGTCTAGTGCTGAAATCCCTGGAGTATTTGAACCTGGGTCTAGTCTTTATTATTTATTTTTTGCTCCTGTTATATTTTTCATGCATCTGTTCAAATTGTTATTCATCTTTATATTCATTTTGTCTCACCCACATGTTTAACCTCTTGTACGTAGACTACTTGACACCCAGTCTATTCTACGTCAAACATCATTGGTTCTCTCCTTCTTTTTGCGACCCTCTGAACCGTTCCAACAAAAATTGATTTTTGTTGCCAAAAATTTTCCTCAAATTTTTTTCCTCGTCTGGTCATAATTTCATCAGAAAGTTCCCTTGTAAGGATTTGATTTTTCTTCAAATCAAGGATTTTCTGATGAAGGAAATTGTTATATCTCTCTTTACACAAACCAAAGAACCCCTTACAGATGACAACAACAAGAAATTTATGGTTGGATATTGATTAATAAAAAAACTAGGCTGAAGTCCAAAAGTAGACATAAGTGAATCTAATTAAAGATATCCTTCACTTTTAAAAATGAGCGAGCAGACAGACGTCTGTAAAGCTAGCCGCCAATAAACCACATTGGGGGCAAGGCTTGCAAATTGATATGTGGTGGTTACACATTTGGTAATTTTTTGGAGGGATACCTATGTCCAATTGGATACCCCCAAAATCGAGCCATATAGAGTGCGCTGACATAGGGAATCAAAAGTTTCCGGGTGGTAACTGCGCGGAGTCGCAGCACTCATGATCCACCTTACTTGACACCTCGACTCTGCTCAATCTATGATCAAGACGCGATAGTTGATCAGATCTCACCAAGACAATGATTCGGAAGGCAAGGCCTTTTTTGCGCAACTGTTTCAGAAATATTCGGATTCATCTTTTGTCTGTATCTTAACGGGTTGCTTAATTTTTATAACCACCACCCCAGACATTGGAGTGTGTTGCGCTTTTGCGCGTTTTAAATTCAAGATGATTGAAATTCTCAAGATATTTTAATGGAAAGAAGAAGGGGGGGGCATGTATTGCATAGATTTTCAAGATACAAATTCAATACTACAAAATAATACAAGAGGAGAAGGCCAGCGCCGTCAATTCAGGTGGGGGGCGGGCTGCTGACGAGGAAGCATAACAAGCACGGCCCGGCAAACAGGGCAGGTGTCGGCCGATACAAGCCAGGGCTGCAACAGAAAAGGATTGAAGTCAGCTATGATGCGTGTGAAGGTTGCAGAGGTTAAGGAGAGATACTTACTGTAAGGCAGTTGCGGTGAAAGAGATGGGTAGGGTGACAGGGAAGTTGGAGGATGATCTGTCCAGGTTGAATGATGTCCTCGGCACAAATTTGGCATTCCAAAGCGTCACCGTCGGGCGCGGCGGCGGCAGCAGTCGCGTCGGATACGACCAGAGATTCCAAGAAAGCAAAGGTTTCACGGCGGAATCGGTGAAGACGTTCAATCGTAGACAACCAGAAAGCATAAATTTGGATCAAGGGTGTTTGAAGTCGACCTCTTGTGAAGGCGTCCTCGGTAGAAAGCTCTTCCTCATCCAACTTGACAAATGCTCGACGAATGTGAGATGGAACAGACCCAAGGAACCGTTGGTATCGGGCGTCGTCCAGGCCGTTGCCGAAAGGATTAGCTTCTAATTCTTCGTAGCATTTGTACAGACCATCGAATTCTTCGAGGAAGAGCAATCGAGGGGCGACGTCGCAGGCGATATAAAGCCGCAAAGGTTTCATCTATCAATTCATCATTCATGTTGTATAACTATTAGAATAAGTCGTTGTTTTTTGTAAAAGCTCTTTTAGTATGGGTGGAGGAGGGAGGCGGAGGGAGAGATGGACACTGAAGTTGGGGTGAGGGGGGACGGTATGGCTGGAGCCGTACGTCTATAAATACCTTTCATCCATGCGGAGCCTTTTCTGTGGCAGCATTTGTAGTAGGCTTGGGGGTTAGTCTGCTGAGACTCGTGCTGCTTCAATCAATTGAGTCAACGGCTGCAGAGGAGGGCTCAGCTTGTTTGATGCTACAAGCAATGTATGTTTGGTAGCAGCTGAACATTGATCACGATTTCTCTACATGTCTTTGTGCTGTCGACAAGGTAACTGCTTTTGACAAAGGCTTTGCTTCCCTCACCGTTGGTGTAGCTTCTGCCGAAGCGGAGGCTATTTTCCAAGTGTAATGTGTTTTGCAACAATTTGCACGGAAACATATTTACACACTAATTCTCTTTCTGACAGGAGGGTTCAGCTCGACAGATGCTTTCAGTGAGCTAGGCAAGGCAGCATCTGAAGGAATATGGTGTTTTCACTAGGTAACGAAAATTCTCTAGCTATTGCTTTCAAGAAACCTAGCTTGCCTTGTTGGTGGTGTATGCAGCTTCCGCCAAAGCAGTGACTCTTTGAGGTATATTGTGCTTTGTCACAATTTTCACAGACTTCTTTTGACAAAAAGCTTTGCTTCCCTCACCGATGGTGTAGCTTCTGCCGAAGCGGCGGTTTTTTTTTCTCCAGGTGTAAAGTGCCCCGCAACAATTTGCACGGAATCGTATTTCCATAATAATTCTCTTTCTGATAGAGGAGGGCTCAGCTCAATATGTCAGATGACACAAGTGAGGTAGGCGTAATCTGGAGACTGGTTTCTTTACCATGGATCAGAAAATTGTCTACCTACCGCTACGCTTCCAAAAAGCTTTCTGCTTCCAAGGAATCTCTCTTCCCTTGCTGGTGGTGGGTGTAGCTTCCGCCGAAGCGGCGAGTTCTTGAGGTATATTGGGCCCTGCAACAATTTGGCCGGAGATATATTTCCAGGATACTCACTTTTTTTCTGATCAAGCCCAAAAAAAAGCACACTTCGCGCGAGTGAAGCCTGTCATTTCTCTTGCTTCTCCCCAAACATGATATTGATACGAAAAACGTAAAACTATTTTGTTTACCACGGGCAAGGGAATCGAAACTTTCAGATCCACTTGATTCTCGTGGCAAAGACCGCAAAGGTTAGCCAATCCTTTCCAAGGATACAAGTAAAGCCAGATACCGGAGCGGGGGGCATCGCGTCACCATGCATTGCCACCGAGTCTCAGTGATCAGAGCTATCTCAACCCAAGCTCCGGGATAAGCAGGCCTGGATTGTGTTCAGCCAGGATCAGAAACGCTTGTGCCAGGCGACGGAAAAATTGTATTTTTTTTTTCTTGGCTCGCGACTCCGAGTGGCCGGCCGCGCGCCCCGCGCCCCACCCCGCGCCCCACCATGTACACATACAAGCCAACCAACCAAGGAACTACATCAACACCACAATAAGCTCGATCGATCTACTACATACACTTACGACGATGGATTCAAATGCCGACAAGAACAAAGAGTCTACTGAAGACATGATGGCTATCGATGGTAAATAAAAATAGCAAAACAACAGATTAGTTCGAAGACTGACTTGTTTTTTTTTTTTCTATATTATGTATAGAAAGTCCGATCAATCAGGAAGTGGCCGTCAAGCGAAAAGGGAGAGGTTTCAAAGCAGGCGACGCGACTGAACCGATGGAAGTTGATGCTTCTGCCGGCCAAGTGATCTATGAACGGTTAGACGATGAGCACCAGAAGGAGAAAGAACAAACCGCTGGAAATGCCGCCCGATGTTCGTTTCTTCTCCTGTCTCCCTATCGTCAGCCACCAAATCACACTTTGTTGACTCACCGATCATCATCAAACGATCAACTAAATCGCCATCGTTTTAGCTGTCGAAGGATGGGTGGTCATCGTGCAAGGTGTACACGAAGAAGCAACTGAGGAAGATTTGATGGAGAAGTTTAGTGACTATGGACATGTGATGAACTTGGCTATGCCACTAGATCGTCGGACGGGTTATGTAAAGGTGAGCGATTCGACAAACCAACTTTCCTTCCTTTGTTCTCGTCAAAGCTTCACCTCTGAACATTTGGTTCTCAAACAAAATTCAATTATCAAATATCAACGGTTGAAAACTGATTGATCGGGTTTGAGTTTTCTTAGGGATATGCTTTAGTAGAATATGAGACTAGGAAAGAGGCCGAAATGGCAATCAAATCGGGGACAGATAGTAAACTATTGGACCAGACATTGAAGTGCGATTTTGCGTTTGTTCGGTGAGTTAGACCTTTCCCCTTTCCATCACTTCCTCTCTCCTACCCTTCTCTAATACTTCGCTTTTTTGATTTTGCTTTATTAGGGCTCCTACTGGAGCTTCGGCACCTATCGGACAGCCTAAAGTTCGTCGCGGAGGTAGAAGTCGAAGTCCGCCCAAAAAACCACTTGTCAATCGGATCGATTAATCCTCACAATTCCAATCCCCCCGCCAAAAAAAGATGATCTTCTCTTTACCCGATCTGTCTCTCTTCCTTTCTCCTCATAACTTCCAAGAGTCCATCTACGTATGCCTGTAGAACAATCTTGTCGGTCTGATTTTTTTCGAAACAAAAAAAAACAAAACATATTGCATCAAATTTGCTTGTTCTTATATCCAGAAATATTAAACTCGATTTTCTTTGCTCTTCAAGGAACCAGTTTATGGGCCGACTATGTATGGGACAATAGGATCAATTAAAGCAAATGATGTAGAGAGAGGAACCAAAAAAGCCCATGCGTCTATCCACATTAACTGCATTGATCACAGCACGCCATCCAGTCCAATTCACAAACGTTTTCACCTTGTACATACTGGACCCGCAAGCAACTGCAAGGTTGACTTGCCAAGCTACGTGGCGCACAAATCTCTACCCCTGACCTCACCTGCATGTCCATTAGAATCCCAGGCCCCTGATGTGTTAAAAAAGAGGGAATTTAGCACAATGTAGCATTTCTACCAACAATGGAAAACAAAGTTGCTACCTAATCATCTAGACGACAAGGGTAGGCTCTCATTTGGGAGAGCTGATCAGTCAAGATAGACTGTACTTGGTTTGCCATCCTTTAATCCTTTGACCTGTCCAGTGTGGATGACTGCAGTGGTATTCTTTAGTATTGGTACCTGATACTGTTATCATACCAGTCCGGGTCTGGATAACTCACTCATCTTGTTAGCTACAAATCTCTCATTCAGTTTCCCTTACGGCCATCCCAAAGATAATCAGCAAAAACAAATCATGATTGATTCCAACTGAACACAAATCCATGTTTTTGTTTGATTGATTAACCAAGTAAGATGAGGTCCATTCACTTGATCCCACTTTTGTGACTGGAAATTATTATGACATACATACCAAAAATTAATGCAGACACTTAAAAGAATATGCGTTTGAAAAAAAAAAAAAAAAACTCATTTTGAATTGGAATGAGAAGCCCTTGAAGTCTTCTTGTAATCCAGTGCAGATTGTCCAAATCAAGTTTTGATGTGCAATGCATTGGAAGGATGATCCATTCCCGATTCACTCATCTCTATAAAAGTCATTTTGGAAAAGAGTATGTAAAAGTGAGACTGGGAAAAAGAGCTTCTTGAGGAGGATGGAAAAGGAGTGATGATCCAGGTCCAATATATATATATATATCATTAAGGTTGCTCAAGACAAATGGTAGAGTGAAGTGAGAGGGCATGGCTGTTGGACTAACAGAAAATTGAACTGATCATCGTGGTGGGGGTGGTGCTTGGTACTGATGATGGTAGTGAGTTCATGCACAAAAAGAGGGTAAGCTATATAGCTGGATTGTTGGATAGATGTTTGTGAATCAGGCTCAGCATTAATATATAACACCTTTTTTTTTTGATCACAACCCAAAGAAAAAAAAAAGATCAAAATCCCACAATATAATAATTAACTCAACTCTCCCTTGTAAGAAAAAAAAGAAACTCTTGGTAAGCATATGTATATGTTGTGCCATGAATCTCAAACACAACTACAAAAAAATAGGACTACTGATGATCAGCTCCCAAAAGGAAGAGCAATGATAATTTTCATTCAGAGATCAGAGCACCAAAAAACAGGACAGGTAATGTGGATGTATCTGCATGTATGCTTCATACGTTATTTTCTTGACAATGTTAATGTTAATGGTTTTTTTTTTTTCTTTCTCATCTGTGTGTGAAAAAAAAGTGCAATGAAACTAAAGAAAGAAAACCAGTGGAAGGGTTTCAGAGACCTATCCGCCCCAAAAAAATGCAAGATGCAAGATGATAGTTAAGAAATGAAGGAGTACAAACAACCAAACTAACAACAAGAAGAACAGACAAAAAGGACCAAAGTGAGCACCTATCAATATATAGAATAGAAGGGATGCAGACAGAAAGATAAAAAAAAAAAAAGAGTTGAAATGTGGATGAATGGACAAGGATGGCTTCAATTGGGATCACGAGACCTATGGTTAATCAGGATAGATCGGGGGTTATCGAAGTTAGGATCAGACCAAGGAAACGCATGATCGTGTTGGAGTGAAGGCTGCTGCTGGTGGTGGTGATAATGAGGCTGCTGATGAGAGGAGGTGGGGGCATTGTGGATGATGGGGAGGCGGTCCTGGTCGGCGCGATATCTGGACAAGAAGCCAGTGGGGGCGGAGCTGGCGAGAAAGGTGTTAAACTCCTCGGGCTCTCGATGATGATGATGATGAGCATGATGATGGTGGTGGCTCTTCCTGGCCATGATCGATGGATGAGACGAACCGGAGAGATTGGTGGCGGAAGAGGGCAGATGAGAGTCTGCTCGACAGCTGGCGTCGATGCCGATGGGCTTGATCAGGATGTCTTGCGGGATCGAGTCGATCGGCGAACAGAGATCGCTGTACAAGGACTTGTCCAGGAAGAACTCGTTGGGCTTCTTGAAGGAGGAGGATGGACTGGTGCTACCTCCCTGGGTGCTCAGGGAGCCAAACTTGTTCACCAGTCCTCTCAGATTGCTATTGTTGCCGTTTCCCTCGATCGACGAGGAGCGTGGAGAGGTCGGGTTGATTAAGGTCGGCTTGGGTGTCTTTCGAGCGGCCTCAGATTTGAATGATTTGACTGCTTCTCTCGCCTGTTTGAGTTGGTCAGATTCGATGACATCATTGGAGAACGAGACTCGTCTGCTCCGATTATTCCTGTGGGAGCTTCCCCCACTGTGGCTGGCACTGTTGGAGATGTAGGAGGAAGAGCTTGTCGATTGGCCACTACTACGAATCGGCTCCCGGTAATACTCGGAGTGGATGGAAGATTGATAGGGCTTGCCATGATCCCGGCTCAATAGTTCGCCGATACTGCTTGGAGATTGTCTGAACTGGCTCTTGCTCTCATCCCGCAGGATCCCAGTTTTCAAAGCACCGTTGAAGTGCGGTTGTTTGGTAGTAGTAGTAGTACTACTGCCTTCATCTCGGACTGGGACGCCTGAGGATTTGCTATTAGAAGTGCGTGAGAATGAGCTTTCGTCAAGGAAGCGGGACGGAGGGGACAAGTATTTGGACTGAGGGACAGCCATGCTAGATGGCTTGTTGCTTGTAGTCTTGAAGCTCGACGAAGTTGAACTTGCAAGCTTGTCTGCCGCTTGGCGAGCTTGACGTTGCGCTCGTCGCTCCTGATCGATCTGACAGACCACTTGGTTGAATACCTTGACGGGGTCCAAGTCGATCAACATGGCCCTCAATTCTGGAGGCAAACCGACTCGAAGGTCGATGGTAAGCTCTGATCGAGCTCGCGATCGGCCAATCGGATGTCCTCCAAGCCGTTCTTGTGCCAGAGTGCTCTCAGCGTCTTGAGCATAGCGACCAGCGCTCTTTCTGTATTCTGATGACTTGATCAGATCGTACAACTCGCGTCGTGAATCTACAATAGTCAGGGGATCAACACAGGTGGGTTGCAAACGGAGGTAAGGATCAACAGGCTTGTGGATATGATTCCTTTCCGACAATGATGATATTGTATTTTGTGATGACATACCATCTCCGATGAGAGCATAGGCTTCAGCAGCCAATCTGAACTGGGTGTGATTGGCGGTAGAATTGAGGAGGTTTGAGTTGATGGCTTGCCGATCTGAGAGTTTACAAGGATGATGTAGACATGCCTGTTGGTGTGATAGAGCAAATGTGAGTTGATGTTAATTTTCAAGACAGTTTCATTGAAGCATGCAAGAGATATTGGTTTTTTTTTTCTCATAGATTCATTGGCATCATCTTTTGGCGATGATGATGAATGGATGTAAAGATGTTTTTTGTTATGATGTATTGTTGGATGGGTAATTAGATTTGAGAAGAATGGGAAGGAAGAAGCCCCTTCTGATTGGATGGCCTCGAGAGGGATGGAGCTATACGTAAAAGAGATGTGATGATGGATGAAAAATTTGAACTCAACCAAATCGAGATAAGCGTCCCTGATGTCCGAAAGAGAAGCGGTAGGCGAGACGTTCAAGACTCGATAAGCGTCTGTCATTTTTGCTTTCCTTTCCTTTTTTTTTGGAGGGGGAATCCAAAATCACCAGTGATGATGGACAGAAAGAAGATAACTTGAGTATAAACCCAAAAGCGGAAGAACGAATAGGGGTGAGCTTGTTGTGGGAAGCTTCAAGAGGACTGGTTGATGGATGGATATAAAAGACTGCAGTTGACGTTTTTCGAGAGGATTGCAGCTGATTTGGAAAGTACTGGGGCTGTGAGTGCTGTGCGTATTTATGCCAGACAAGGGACTAGATCAAGCGACGAAGAAAGATATTTTGCCTGTTAAATACTTGAGGGACTTGAAGTTGTTTTCGGTTTGAGGTTGTGACGAAAGAAGCGTGTGTGAGTGGATGGAAAGGGATCAAAAGGCCAGCTTGGATTCCTTTTTTAAAGTGTTGTTGAGTAGAGGCGGTGGATGTTGGGCCTCTGTTGAGGCTGAGTATGTTTAAAGTAAAGAAAGCGCTAGAGAAGAGCTTAGCCTGACGAAATCCGGCGAGAGCTAAATTCGAAAACCAAGCTAGTAACAGAAATACGGAGACTTATTCGACAAAGGGAAACTGAGGGCAACGTGAAGACTTGGGAGGAAGGACTGAGGATGGGAGCTGAGCTGGGGAAGATTATGATCACAAGCTTACAACTCCTTCTTCTTCTTCTTCGTCTTCTTCTTCTCGTCCTCCTGCTTCTTCTTCCCCCAGCCTCAGGTCTCTGTAGTCGGGTTTCGGAATCTAAAATAAGTTGTTTGAAGATACAAGCTTATATATGGAGATGCGATTGGTGTTAGGAGTAGTACAACTAGTCACCGCAAAGAGTCTTATGTAAATATCTCTCGAAATAACTTGGGACATACAGCCGGATTTTATTAGCAGCGTTTATCTAGTGGCAGTGTCGAGGGCCATAACTGCACACCTCATCGACCCAGCGAGTTTTAACCCAGAGCGATGCGCTCAACGTGGTCTCATCGACTGCAGAGCCCTGCTTGTTGAAGGCGGGGAGGGGAACTCAAGTTGTCGTAAGCCAGGAGCAGAGATAAGACTTATCGGGAAAAATCGAAGAGCCGATAATTATACCAGACTCCAGAAGAACCACAAACCTAAAACTCTTCTTGAGCGATTTGTTAAATCCTCTTCGTTGTTGTTGTTGTTTTTCACGCCGGGCCCCTCATCATCACTGAGGGAGGCCTTTCTTTTCTGAACGCAAAAGTCGATTGTTCCTTTGCATGTTTCATTTCAGGTAATAAAAAAAACAATCGCAGCATTTTTTTTTTTTCAAACCTCGTTATATTAATCCCTGCTCTCAAGAGCGGCGTGAAGGAGATCTAGAATAAAGATGAGCTGGAAGAGAGCCTGCATCTGAAGCTTGGTGAACATTCTTGCGAAGGATAAAAGTTATTGAGGAGGGATGAATGAAAGATTTCAAGTCATTTGACCATCGACTGTTCAAACATTAATTTAAACAACTGTGTCATAGAAAGAAGAAGGAAAGAAAAAAAAAAAAAACAGGATACTTCAAAAGATCAAGCCACGTTGTTTGCCCATAATTATACGTGTTACAACAGCTTATACCTCTTTTCCACTTGCAGGTTCTCTATGAGAATTGTAGCTCCCATCAAACCCCCTTCGCCGAGGGCAAGACTCTACAGCTGCTAGAGCTTGTCGAACAAGCTTTCTCCGACCGGTAGGATCATTTATAAAGGCTTGATGATGATGATGGAAGAGGAGGAAGACGATTGTGTAATGGGCTTCTTAATCCTCTGATCACGATGATGACGTATCTAAACAGATACATACTGGAAAATGTATATGTGCATACCTTGGAAAGATAAGATCACTATGTACCTCCTCATCACGTGAAGAATTTTTGTGATGAACCTTATTGTTGGCACCAGCTGAAACGTGGGCACGATCCAAGATGTATGCAGTACATAAATATGTACATACCGCTGCTTTCGTGGGTTTCATACGGAACCCCCCCTGATAGTAGCTTTACAGACTCTTACAACAGCCCTTCTTGGCACCTTGACTGAGACACTTCGTCATAGGATTCCAAGGATGATGACAAAAAAGCCGCTCAAGCATACTTGAGGGCTTGCACGAGTCATCTCAATGCGTGTATGTAGATCCATGCCAGTATGGCTGTATGCTCCATGGGCTTGAATCTGCTCACACAGATATACCCCACACATCTCACACTTTACATAACTCCAGCTGACCAGACCTGCTGAGATGTAGACAGATTTGAGTTCTTGGAAACATGACATGTTATCATTGGGGAGTATTCAAGGAGCAGCAAATGTGCAAACACCTTTGATCCAAAAAATGAAGAAAATCAGAAGGACGAGATTTCTCAGCAATACTAATAGTATACTCATGTGAATCAGCCTCTGAAAGAAAAATTGGTAGCAGAAGAATTTAATTTGGATTAAGGCTATGTCTAACAATAGATTATTTGGTAAAGGCATTCATGATTTGATTGCTTCAATGTAGGAATAGTGGAACAGTTCAAACAGGTGAAAAAGAAATTTGCAGCCATACATTACTAATACACAGGCTCAAATTTGTGGGTAATTTAGGTTTTTTTTTTTGGAAGCTAGGGGTTTTCCCTAAATCTGATGTTCTGATTAGCAAAATTGTAAAAATTATGACTGATTAATTCTCAAAGACACAAGACCAGAACTAGAAACAATAAGGATTAGACAAGAGACAATCAAAGAAAGTCAGAGAATGAGAAAAAAAAAATAAGAAATAATAATCAATAAACCAAGCCTGAAGTAGATAACTTTTAATCCAAGCCAGACAGCTGAACAGAACAAGGCAAGAGACTTTTAGAGAGAAACTCAGAAACACAATGACAGATCAGTTGATTTGAATCTAAATGCAACAAGAGTAGATCAAAACTGAACAAACCCTATAAATATAGGAAGATTTTAGTAAGTCTTAGATAGCAAAAGAAGAACAAGGATCTATGAAAGAAAATAGACCAGTATTTAACAAAAAAAAAGAAAAGTGAATAGTATGAGTGGACAAACATTGAGATGCAAAGAAGCAAATAAGAAATACCAAGAGTGCATTTCTCACCAAGTTGAAGCTTCACCAAGACTTGATGATGGTCAAGCAAGGTGGTAAGTTTTTTTTTAGATCTTGTTGTGTTCAGTGTTTTTTTTTTTTTTTTTTTTTTTTTGTAAGAGAGAGGAATTTGAGATGACATCCTAGCCTTGCGATTCTACTTCAGGAAACTCCAAAGATTAAAGATCCAGTTACCATTTATTCTTCTTGTTGGGGCTCGCAACTCACAACCAATCGAGCGGAAAAAAATAACTTTCCGGATTCAGGAGGAGGTGCCTTTCGGCTAACGATGGGCTTGAAATTAGTTTAAACCAATCTGATAAACCAGCTACATAGCTTGCTGCATCCCAATTCAATCCAGACTCGATAACAAGTTCAGTTTTGCGGAGAAGTATTTATTTCATCATTTCAAAGCTGCAGACAAAGACAAGTTCGTCATGTCTTGGCCTGAGTTTACTTCTCAATATTCGCACTTGATATGCCGCTGGGATATTAGAAACCAATAGATTAATGAGTAAACTGGATTTAACAAGTCTAAAAAGACCAGGGGAAGTAAAAAAAAAGAATACCTGGAAGATAACTCAGTCCAAGAGCTTTTTTGATGCCTAGCGCAGCTCCCCAACCTATTGCAGCGGCACCGTCAGTCATCATTACCTCGTCGGTTGGCTTGCCTTCTCTTATCTCAATGGGCATCCGTGGAACAACAATATCACATTGAACGTCCTTCCAGCTTCTAGATGATGGCACATAAACTGGGAATACTAAATTGAAGCTTGAAAAATTTTATCGATCCATTGCTGATGTGGTCGTTACTCCATACTTGGAGTAGGATGTGGCCGGGTAATCCCACCGGGTCAATTAGGGCCCACGAGTATTTTTGCCCGACATAGTTGGCTTCGGTCACCTTATGGGCCCCTCAAATTGCCGCTGGTCATTCAAAACACAACAAAAAAAGGCTAGCAATTAGAGTTGCAGTCATACATCTTTCATAATTCTACCAAAAAAAAACTGGAAAGCGGCATACACGGCACATATGATAGCCCCAACTGAGTGTCTCTCTGACATAAGTTTTTTTGCTGATCCGCAAAGAGCTTGTGTATATATCGGGAACCCTTCGGATTTGGTTGAGATTAAACTTGATGCTAGGCGTGGTTGTTGAAAGACCAAGTTGCAATCGAGAGTTCTGTTTGACACGAGTAACCAGGAGAGACAAACCCCCATGATGTCAGAGCTTTTGTTTTACAAAAAAAAGGGAATCTCCTGATCTCTTAGAACTAGAACTAACTTACAAATTTTGATATCTTCATCGTTGGATTGAGTTCAAGAGGTAATTGCTTTTGAATCATGTCGGTTGTATACATTGGCCTTGGGCAATTCATGGGTGAGGTGAAGAACCAGACACATTCCTGAAAGTGACAAATAGATCAGTGAGATTAAGAGATAATTTCTGAGCCATAGTTTCCTTACATCCTTGACTAGAGCCGAACGATAAACTCTGTGACAGAACCTAAGCGGTTGATGAAAAAACTGCCACATCTCATTCCCACCTCCAATTCTTCGACCACTCCATTGTATTTGGAACACCATCGGCTTGCTCAGATGGAATTAGATCCAACAATCGGAGCCATATGTTCTCAACGAAGTTGCTAGACGCGCATTGGTCATTTTGCTTCGCCAACCAGTCTCTGATAATGACAGGTCGATGGCAAAGCGGACATCACCGGAGCGAATCAGTCTCTGGATTGGACTCTCGTCTGTCGGATTATCCTCGGATTTCATCTCATGCTTGATCTGATCAATCACGGTGGACATCTGCGTGTCGTAGTCGTAGTCTACCCCGCATCCCGGCACAATCGAGGTCAAGTTCCAATCGCGTGGATCGGATGGAAGATCGCTGGCGAGCACCTTGCGTTGATCTTCAACTCATGGGTAGGAAAAGATGGACCGCGCAACTTCCCACTTGATGATATGATTGTCAAGCTGGGCGGGTTCTTTTTCAATGTCACTGTCAAAGTATTGTGTAACGGCTTCCGGATTAACACCTCCTGATACCAATCGGATGCGAGGACATGATAGCTCTACCTCGGATCTGCATCCGAGGTAGGGTGTTACTGGTTCCCCAAAAACCATATAAGAGCACCAACAATAGCGGAGCCATGAGTTGAACGTCGAGCAAACTCATTGCCCCACGTCAACCCATGTAAGCATCTGGGCAGTGGTCAGGCCCGGTTCAATAGCAAGTTCACAACAACCGAGTCATGCTTTGACGTAACATCTATAGGGCCTCCAGCACCTGCGGCCCTGCTTAGTCCCCCAAGTGAACACCTGCAAGCTGAAGGGTTAAAATGACAAATGCGATAACCCTCGCCAGTGCTGCTGATCAGATGATCTCAAACTGCCCAATCACACTCGGCACTGTCACAGAGTAAGTACAACAAGTGAGCTGTGAGATGCAGCAATCATTACAGAGCATCCTCACATGGATAGAGGCTGGCCATAGCATCCTGTTGATTTTTTTACATAGAGAGTGTAGGATGGGATTCCGGCTCAACTCAGTCATCCAATCTGATCATGAAAGATCTTCATCTCCAAAGAGCCCAAGCTGGGATGCGGCATGGCGAGCCATATGGGCTTTCACCTTCCAACCAAATGCCAAAATTCAGATTAGCTCCTCCTCCAGGCCGGACGTACACGCAGAGGGGAATCGTCATCTGTTGTGCTTCACATGATCACAAACCGCGTGGTTGTCCCAAAGTGGGAGAATTTCATTTAAATAATAGCGGCACAAGTTCATTGTTGATAAGTGCAGGCTTGAGAGGCGCTAAAGAGGGTGCCCGAGTCGGGGACGACGTCTCTCCGATCAAGGTAGACAATACCGCCACCGCTAAGGGGTTGGCCGTTCTGTGTTGAAAGGCATATACATATGTCATTGGGAGGTGTCAGTGCTACCGTCGAGTACATAATAAAAAGTATAACGAGGATGCATTGCTGGCCACACGTACCGCTCCCAGTGTCGCCTGTCCTTTACAGCACCGGATAACACTCAACCCGCCTATTCGCGTGGCGTCAAGGCAGCCTCTGCGACTTGCGATCATACCTTTTAGATTTCGTAGTGCAAAGAATCAGTTTAAATGAACGGTAAAGGTAGCATGTATTGGCACTACTCTAGTGATCTGAAAATACATACCCATAATTCTCTGGACTTGTGGGTTACCGTAATCGGATCTCGAGAAGCAAACGGCTGATGGGTGATTCGCATCGCAGTTTATTCCCACAACGCTGATGGCCACTTGGGCAACTAACAAGGCTCCGGCCAGTAAAATCATAGCGGTTGAGCGGTAAACGGAGTTCATGATGACGGTTTTCGGGCAAGCTTGAAAGTCGACGCAAGTACTACTTCTACTTAGAAATTGGAAGAGGGAACAAATATGCGAACGTTGGTCAAGTTGGAATGCTGGGATGATGAAGGATGGGGGTAGCAGAGCTTATATGGGGATCAATGGGTTATCGAACGGTTCGGACTTATAGGTGCCGAGGTTGATGAGGTCTTTCATTTCTTCTTCTTCATTTGACCACATGAAGCTGAGCCACAAGCCCAAGTATGCATAATATTGGCGGATGGTATACTATGTCCACTTGAATTCTGGTATACACAAATATAGCCTCTGCCACTCATTGACAAAATGGACACAGCTTACATCCGTATCAGCCCAGGTCTCAAGTATTGCTATAGAGTGCAAAAGGCCCAGCCGGCCATACTGTACTACACAACCGCTCTAGTTTGCGAAAACCGGATATCGCCCTGGGCTAACTTAACTAAGTCCCTCTTTAATCGGAGGGGGGACGCTGTCCCGCAGGGATCCTCCGAATGGGCTTGGTTGGGTCCGCTCATGAGAAGATCACGTTGTGTGACGCCTTCAAGACCAGAGTAACAGAAGTGCGACTTGACAAGATGAGGTGCCCCTGGGTCATTAACTGACATTGGTACTTATTCATCAAGCAAAATGGCAGCTTTTGTGAAATAAATTGATCAAGAGATTCTGATAACCCATGACTTGAGTAAATGTGTTATCCTTTACATACAGTCATATTATTATGAGCATGTGAGCATGAAGGGTTTAGGTGAAAAGGTATGTAGGAGAAATGTGGAATCTTGTATGACTCTGTAGGTTGAGGTTGGAATGAAATAAGAATGTGTTGGTATTTGTATCTTACTTTTTGTCAAATAAGTGGTTCTGGTGGCTGCGGTGCACGATGCATAGACCCACATCATTGGTCAGTATTCAATATGAAATCTTGAACTCAAAAACCGGATGTGCTTCTCCCCAGAGAAGTGGACGACCCATTGATGTATTGCACCTGATCTAGGTACTAAGTGAAGGTGCTGTGGTCCATGCGCACGGATGAGATTGAGCTTGGGCAGACACCAAATTATCCTGACCCAGTCCAAAATAGAATGATGATAATTTGGGTCCTATGCCCTTTCTTAGAAGTTCATAAGCTGTGATACCGGACAAGCTTTTAGAACTTCCTTCCATCCAATCATTTTACTATCGCTCTATCTTATCCTTCTTCATCTAATACTTCAACTTAACCAACTCCTTCCTCTCTTTTTCTATAAACAACCTCAAATTGACTACAGTCATTATACTCCTATACCTCCTCTCAGTTCTTGAATCAACACGATGGTCGACGCCAACACAACCAGAGCGACTTCAAAAAAGATCAAGGATTCGTCCTCATCGAAAGTCAGGAACGAAGACACATCCGTCGCAGATTCCTTGATACCTAAAGGAGGCGCAATTTCCAACGGTGGTCATCCCGATAACCAAACAGCCCTCATGACTGAGAAAGGCAAAGCCCAAAGCGGCAGTTCTTTAATCCCTGCAGATGCAGGAGGAGAGATAGGGTCAGCAAGCCATGGTAAGTTTTTCCGATCTAGTGATTTTCCTTGCGGAGAACGAGCGTTGAAATCCGCATAAACAAATTACAACCCTTTCTCTAGGATCACCGGTGAAAGATACCGTGTTTTCATCCTTAGTGGATACGAGCGAATCTCGCAGAGACCGAGCCCCCGTGGCATTGTTAAATCAAGTGGCTAGAGCAAAGACCGGTATCGATACCGCGAGCCAAAGCATTGAAGAAGAAGAAGATAACTCGCCAGGTTAGCGCAGATCCTGCCGCAATTTGTTATACAAGCGGAAAACGCATACTAACTTGAACTGAAAACGTAGACATCGCAGTATCCTCCTTAATGTCTGAACGAGAACAAATGTGGAAACGAGCGGTTGCCGCACAGAACTCAGGAGATGCAGACTTAGCAGAGATGCTTTTCAACGCCATAGGCCGTATAGGGAAAAGTGCTGCAGCTCCCCCAACGGCGTCACTGTTCGCGATTCCTAACCAAGCGGAGTCAGGCGAAGTAACCTACCTAGGCACAGCGCCATCGAAGCCGACACTGACCGTGGTCGAGGCAAAGGGCGATCCTCAAGACCCGGAAAAATTCTTCTTGACCGAGGGCGATTTGGTGTACGCAATCGGCTCGGTTACCAACCATAATAGTGTCGGTTTTGCCCCATTCCTCGATGAAAACATAAGAAAGCTCCGCTCGCCTCTACCTCTCACAATTTTCAATCGAAAATGGCAACAGAGAGCTATGGCATATCATCTAGATAGGCGCCAAAGATCAGATGAGTCAACGGCCGACAAAGATAAGTCCGGTGGTTACAAAGGTTTCTCATTCGTCCAAGAATGGACTCAAACCTACGCACAATGGTCTAGAAATCATAGAGCTTTCGTCAAAACACTGCATGACGTATACAAGATAAAGAAGTTCTCAAAGTTGTTGGCTACCCACAAGGACAACTGCGACGAGATAACGGAATAATTTGGGTTCATGGTGGCGTTTCGTTATGATATGGAGGTTAGGAGTAATACCTTCTCTCATAGGATTACGGACGACGATGTGAAAAACACGATCCCAGACATATCTCAACGCAAAGAGTCGGTGGTCGAGCAATGTTATAATGTCTGCCGAAATTTCGGAGAGTTGGACTGGGAAGAAAATCTCTACGCACCAGGGTTGTCGCACTGCAACCACGACCCATTAACTGGTTATCTCAGAAACGTCAGAAACAATCAAAGCTTCCATAATTCATTCGGTAACAACGCGATGATTCAAAATCCATTGGCCCAATCACATGGCTGGATGTATAGCTCGAACGGCATGCAGACCAACGGCATGCACAACAATACCAACCAGAACTCTCGGCAAAGCAGTTTCAATAGCTACCAGAGCGGTCCGAACGGTGGGAACCAGAATTTCAATCAAGGGAACAAGAGGCCAAGAGGCGGGTATAAAGGCAGCAATTATTCGGATAATTTTGTTGGCAGGTCTGATGGCGGACAGTCCAGCGGAAGGAAGAATAATCAGAACAAGTAGGTTCTGCGATCCATAATTTGTTTTCTACTATGGCATGGCCAGTTACTCGCTTTCATGCTACGTCTTGAGCATTTCTCTATCACTTGTCTGAATCTTTTATGTTGTGGCTTTTCTCTTACTCTCTTAACTGTTTCCTTTTTTCTTCTTCTTCGGACTGTACTATGATCTGTGACCAGCAAACTTCTTGAAATGACAAATCATTCTTTTAATGTCAAAGAAGCTGTTAGGCAACAAGGTTGGCCCTCACAAGTCCGTTGTGAGATGAATATCGATCTTTGGAAGATAGCGCTGAAAAACGCAAAAATCTTAACCAAATATCAAGATGTTTTGTTTGGATTCGAGCACGGTTTCCATCAAGGAATACCTACCCATAAACTTGGCAATCTGCGCTGGTTCACCCCAGATAACCATCGGTCGGCAATTTTGGCGGAAAAGAAGATCAGAGAATCAATGGATAAAGAACTACAACAAAAAAGAATGTTCGGGCCGTTTGACTGGGAGGAAGTCAGCCGGAAATTTAGTTTCTTTAGGACAAATCCTTTAGGAGCGGTTGTCAACGGTGACGGGTCAGTTCGACCGATAAATGACTTGTCATTTCCTCACGGAGATCCCTCGACACCTTCAGTGAATTCCTTCGTGAATAAAGACAATTTTGAGACCACGTGGGACGATTTTAATGAAGTTTCATCGTTTTTCAGAAGTTGTGATGGCCCGGTACTCCTTGCGCTATTCGATTGGGAAAAGGCGTACCGTCAAATCCCTACCCGTCCATCGCAATGGCCCTACTTGATGGTAAAAGGTATGGATGGGAACCTGTATTTAGATACTAGGATAACCTTTGGTGGCGTGGCAGGCTGCGGCTCTTTTGGAAGGCCGGCAGACGCGTGGAAAGAGATCATGTTTGCCGAGTTTGACTTGGTAAAAGTGTTTCGCTGGGTCGATGACAATCTTTTCATCAAAAAGCCTACCTCGACTACGGACATGAAGGATATTGTGAAACGGTCTACCGATTTAGGAGTTCTGACAAACTTGAAGAAATGTTCAATATTTTCAGATGAACAGAAATTTATTGGATTTCTGTGGAATGGAGCGAACAAGACTGTACGACTTCCACAAGAAAAATTAAATCAAAGAAAATCACAAATTGAAGAATTCCTAGATACATCGAGGAAATTTTCTTTCAACGAGGTTGAGGTCCTGACAGGACGTCTCAATCACGTATCTTACATGTTACCTCAGCTGAGGTGTTATTTGAGGAGCCTCTACAGATGGATGCTGGATTGGTTCGACATACACGCAAAGAGATACGCACCCAATGATGTCCTAGAAGATCTCAACCGATGGAAAAATACATTAAACACTTTCAAACACGAACGGCTCATCAGCGTAGAAGAACCCATCGATATAGGTTGGGTAGGAGATGCGTCGACTAGTTTTGGTATCGGGGTTGTGATTGGGAAATACTGGTCTCAATTGAGAATTTTAAAACCTCGCAACCAACAATCTCGGAAATGGAACATCGCTTGGCTTGAAACGGCGGCTGTAAGGGCAGGGTTGTTAATGTTACAAGCGTTAAACCGTTTGAAGAAAGGGTCTAACGTGCTGGTGTGGACTGATAATACAACCACCGAGTCAGCAATCCTTAAGAGGAAATCTGGGGACGACACTGTAAATGAAGAGTGGAAATTGATACAGGATTTCCTAATGGAGAATGAGATTGACTTAACCGGAAAACGGGTCAAATCTGGCGACAACGTAGCAGACAATTTATCCAGGGGTCGGATTGGTACCCTGAAATTAGAAAACAGGGTGCATTTTGAGCTACCTGTAGACTGGTTAGAGTACCTGTGTCATACTTAATTTGTTGTGTATTTAATAAGTCTTGAAATCTGTTGTGATCTCTCTTGTCTATACGTTGAATCATCACAATACTTGGTAGAAATGAGTGAACCTTCAAATTTAATCATCATCGATAACGAACCTTTAACAGTAGGACATTTAAATAAAATCAAAGCGTTTGTTGCAAATGGTACAACTCATTACCCAGTATCTACTCTGAACGCACACCTTCTAACAGGCTGGAAGTGGAATACAATCCTTGGCTATAATGCGGCCGTGAAAAAGTTTATATTCTTTAAGAATCTATCGGGGAACCATAATTTCAAGTTACCGACCTCGACGAAAGACATAGAAGATTTTTGTTTTTGGGCAGGAAGGAACCTTTACCTCAATAACTCGTACAAAATATCATCGGCTTCGATAAAGAAATACTTGTGTGGCCTGAAGGCGTGGCATACATTCCATAGTCAGGATTATCCGGACATCTCAGACAAAAGAATCGAATTATTACTGAAGGCATCGGCTAGGATCGATGCGACCATACCGGCGAAACCGAAGAAACCGCCGATATTACTTAAACATTTAATTTGGCTCGCAAATGCCCTGTTTCCAGGAGGAGACATTGATAAATCCATCATGGATCTCGCGATCGTAGCTTTTTGGGGGATGGCTAGAATCGGCGAATTAACATACGCAAATACCTCGGGCGATCTGAATAATGAGGATTCAGTTCTGACTTCAGACGTACGAATTGTTAGATCAGCAATTGGAGAAAAAGTTATCCTCACGGTCCGAAACGCGAAAACTGCACAACCAGGCAAACCACAAGAAATTGTGTTACATAGTTTGAAGAATATGCTTTGCCCAGTGTTAGCCATAAAAAGACGTTTAGAAGAGGCGGACGGAGCGAAAACCTCGTTGTTTGGTTTTTCGAGAGACGGCGTACGACGACATATGACAAGGTCAATCGCGGTCAACAGGATTCAACTAGTATTACGAGCGGGCGGTTTTGAAGGTCTCCTTGGACATTCTTTTCGAGTCGGAGGAGCGTCATTGCGCTACGCTTTAGGAACGCCAGTTGAAGAAATCTGTCTTTTAGGCAGATGGATTTCAAACTGCTACAGGTTATACATTAGGGAATATAGCGTAGAAGATAAATTAGATAGTAAAAGGATTTTAGATGAATTGAACGAGTTGTGGGAAGAGGATTAGCAGGTGTTTGGTATCTTTGTGTCAATTGTCGATGATGTATCGGAGTAGTAGGTTTTTTAGCACTAGGCTCAGGCTCCTATCATCAATAGAAATTTACACCTGAGTTATAGGTGTTTTGCTATTAAACCTACTCCTTTCTTAGTTTTAAGATTGAGATACATACAAAGAAGACTAGCACATTGATCATTTTTCCTGTGGTCCCTATTGAACCTTTTTTGTTTTTGAAAAATTTAAATTAGAAATAAATACTAATTGAATAATAATTTCTGTTCATCTGAAAATATTGAACATTTCTTCAAGTTTGTCAGAACTCCTAAATCGGTAGACCGTTTCACAATATCCTTCATGTCCGTAGTCGAGGTAGGCTTTTTGATGAAAAGATTGTCATCGACCCAGCGAAACACTTTTACCAAGTCAAACTCGGCAAACATGATCTCTTTCCACGCGTCTGCCGGCCTTCCAAAAGAGCCGCAGCCTGCCACGCCACCAAAGGTTATCCTAGTATCTAAATACAGGTTCCCATCCATACCTTTTACCATCAAGTAGGGCCATTGCGATGGATGGGTAGGGATTTGACGGTACGCCTTTTCCCAATCGAATAGCGCAAGGAGTACCGGGCCATCACAACTTCTGAAAAACGATGAAACTTCATTAAAATCGTCCCACGTGGTCTCAAAATCGTCTTTATTCACGAAGGAATTCACTGAAGGTGTCGAGGGATCTCCGTGAGGAAATGACAAGTCATTTATCGGTCGAACTGACCCGTCACCGTTGACAACCGCTCCTAAAGGATTTGTCCTAAAGAAACTAAATTTCCGGCTGACTTCCTCCCAGTCAAACGGCCCGAACATTCTTTTTTGTTGTAGTTCTTTATCCATTGATTCTCTGATCTTCTTTTCCGCCAAAATTGCCGACCGATGGTTATCTGGGGTGAACCAGCGCAGATTGCCAAGTTTATGGGTAGGTATTCCTTGATGGAAACCGTGCTCGAATCCAAACAAAACATCTTGATATTTGGTTAAGATTTTTGCGTTTTTCAGCGCTATCTTCCAAAGATCGATATTCATCTCACAACGGACTTGTGAGGGCCAACCTTGTTGCCTAACAGCTTCTTTGACATTAAAAGAATGATTTGTCATTTCAAGAAGTTTGCTGGTCACAGATCATAGTACAGTCCGAAGAAGAAGAAAAAAGGAAACAGTTAAGAGAGTAAGAGAAAAGCCACAACATAAAAGATTCAGACAAGTGATAGAGAAATGCTCAAGACGTAGCATGAAAGCGAGTAACTGGCCATGCCATAGTAGAAAACAAATTATGGATCGCAGAACCTACTTGTTCTGATTATTCTTCCTTCCGCTGGACTGTCCGCCATCAGACCTGCCAACAAAATTATCCGAATAATTGCTGCCTTTATACCCGCCTCTTGGCCTCTTGTTCCCTTGATTGAAATTCTGGTTCCCACCGTTCGGACCGCTCTGGTAGCTATTGAAACTGCTTTGCCGAGAGTTCTGGTTGGTATTGTTGTGCATGCCGTTGGTCTGCATGCCGTTCGAGCTATACATCCAGCCATGTGATTGGGCCAATGGATTTTGAATCATCGCGTTGTTACCGAATGAATTATGGAAGCTTTGATTGTTTCTGACGTTTCTGAGATAACCAGTTAATGGGTCGTGGTTGCAGTGCGACAACCCTGGTGCGTAGAGATTTTCTTCCCAGTCCAACTCTCCGAAATTTCGGCAGACATTATAACATTGCTCGACCACCGACTCTTTGCGTTGAGATATGTCTGGGATCGTGTTTTTCACATCGTCGTCCGTAATCCTATGAGAGAAGGTATTACTCCTAACCTCCATATCATAACGAAACGCCACCATGAACCCAAATTATTCCGTTATCTCGTCGCAGTTGTCCTTGTGGGTAGCCAACAACTTTGAGAACTTCTTTATCTTGTATACGTCATGCAGTGTTTTGACGAAAGCTCTATGATTTCTAGACCATTGTGCGTAGGTTTGAGTCCATTCTTGGACGAATGAGAAACCTTTGTAACCACCGGACTTATCTTTGTCGGCCGTTGACTCATCTGATCTTTGGCGCCTATCTAGATGATATGCCATAGCTCTCTGTTGCCATTTTCGATTGAAAATTGTGAGAGGTAGAGGCGAGCGGAGCTTTCTTATGTTTTCATCGAGGAATGGGGCAAAACCGACACTATTATGGTTGGTAACCGAGCCGATTGCGTACACCAAATCGCCCTCGGTCAAGAAGAATTTTTCCGGGTCTTGAGGATCGCCCTTTGCCTCGACCACGGTCAGTGTCGGCTTCGATGGCGCTGTGCCTAGGTAGGTTACTTCGCCTGACTCCGCTTGGTTAGGAATCGCGAACAGTGACGCCGTTGGGGGAGCTGCAGCACTTTTCCCTATACGGCCTATGGCGTTGAAAAGCATCTCTGCTAAGTCTGCATCTCCTGAGTTCTGTGCGGCAACCGCTCGTTTCCACATTTGTTCTCGTTCAGACATTAAGGAGGATACTGCGATGTCTACGTTTTCAGTTCAAGTTAGTATGCGTTTTCCGCTTGTATAACAAATTGCGGCAGGATCTGCGCTAACCTGGCGAGTTATCTTCTTCTTCTTCAATGCTTTGGCTCGCGGTATCGATACCGGTCTTTGCTCTAGCCACTTGATTTAACAATGCCACGGGGGCTCGGTCTCTGCGAGATTCGCTCGTATCCACTAAGGATGAAAACACGGTATCTTTCACCGGTGATCCTAGAGAAAGGGTTGTAATTTGTTTATGCGGATTTCAACGCTCGTTCTCCGCAAGGAAAATCACTAGATCGGAAAAACTTACCATGGCTTGCTGACCCTATCTCTCCTCCTGCATCTGCAGGGATTAAAGAACTGCCGCTTTGGGCTTTGCCTTTCTCAGTCATGAGGGCTGTTTGGTTATCGGGATGACCACCGTTGGAAATTGCGCCTCCTTTAGGTATCAAGGAATCTGCGACGGATGTGTCTTCGTTCCTGACTTTCGATGAGGACGAATCCTTGATCTTTTTTGAAGTCGCTCTGGTTGTGTTGGCGTCGACCATCGTGTTGATTCAAGAACTGAGAGGAGGTATAGGAGTATAATGACTGTAGTCAATTTGAGGTTGTTTATAGAAAAAGAGAGGAAGGAGTTGGTTAAGTTGAAGTAAAAGATAATATATCTTTTAGATAAGACAAACCTGTGATGAGGAGCACGCTTAGTATAAGCGACGAAGAACCGAGGAAAGGAGAAAAGATAATATATCTTTTAGATAAGACAACTTCGAGTCGACCAGAATGTGAGACGAAAGAATAAGATCGAATAGTATTCATCAGAATCATGAAAGAGAACAACCATTATGATGACAGTACTTACACCTGTGATGAGGAGCACGCTTAGTATAAGCGACGAAGAACCGAGGAAAGGAGAAAAGATAATATATCTTTTAGATAAGACAACTTCGAGTCGACCAGAATGTGAGACGAAAGAATAAGATCGAATGAGGAAAAAGAAAGAGAACGAGACACAAAACACAACATGATGAATGAGAAAATAATCCATGAGTCATGCAACATCCCCGATCATCACCATGATCTCTTCAACCGTCTTTAACGGTCCGATCCCCAATACCGTCATCATCACACCCCTCCATGTTCTCCAACGTGATTACTCCTGCATCAATTTTATTTTTAGATAACACCGCACCTGGTTGAGATTTTGTGAGAAAGTCGGCCAAGTTGTCCGCCGAACGACAGAAGAGTAGACCAAAAGACCTCACAATATGAAAGCGAATCCAATGCAAGCGAATGTTGATATGACGCGTGGCATGATGATAGAGCGGATTCTCCAAGAGCAATTGCTCCCTTGTTATCATTTAAAAGTGTCGGTTCCCCCGACATATCCACCTTAAGAGAAGGGCCTATTTCGCCTAATAACGAACATAGCCATAAAATATCTTGACCCAATTCCGAACACGAGCGATGCTCCACCTCCGTAGTCGACAAACCAGTAACAGGCTGCTTCGAGCAGCGCCACGCAACGGGACCCAAAAACGTTACCAGATTCCCGGAAAACAATCGCCCATCGATAGAACCGCCCCAATCCGCGTCCGCCCATGACATAATCCTGCTCTCTCCTTTTCCCAAAAGGATTCCGGTATCCATCGTCCCCTTCAAATAACGCAAACAATGATGGAATCCACCCACAGATTTCTTTGTTGGCGCCAACAAGAATTGCGACAGGAAGCTGCTAGTGAAAGCTAGATCTGGTCGAGTACATTGAACTAGGTAGTTGAGTAAACCAACTGCACGTCGATAGTCGATTGAACTGTCCAAAACATCCTCTGATTCATTCGGCTTGCCATTGATTTTAGGAATCAAAGGCGTTTTTGTACCGTTACAAACAGACATCCCAAATTCCTTCAGAATATTCTTGATATATTGATCCTGAACCATAAAGATTTGACGCTTCGGCCGGTTTCGAACGACGCGAATTCCCAGAACAAATTTGCATTCCCCCAAATCGACCATCTCAAAACGGGAACTCAACAGTTCCTTCACCCAGTTAATCGATTTCCCACCAATGATTAAGTCATCGACGTGAACAAAGATAAAAGTCGATTCATCGTCCTTGCAAAGAAAAAGACAAGGGTCGGAAACCGTGGGGAAAAATTTTATTTCGGCAAAGAAGTCGGACAGAGCTTGATGCCACATGCGCGGGCTTTGCTTGAGGCCGTATAACGATTGATTCAAATAAAGCCCTTCACCCGGCTTCAAATAAACATTTACACCCTCGGGAACTTGAATAAAAATGTCGCAGTCCGGTTTGCCATTCAGGAAGGCACACTTGACGTCCATCTGGTGCAATTCAAGATCCAAGAGAGCAGAAACCGCCAAAACCGTACGCAAAGTCATGAGACGTCCGGTAGGGGAGAATTCTTAGTTTTAAGATTGAGATACATACAAAGAAGACTAGCACATTGATCATTTTTCCTGTGGTCCCTATTGAACCTTTTTTGTTTTTGAAAAATTTAAATTAGAAATAAATACTAATTGAATAATAAAACAGTGGAAAAAGGTTTAATGACTACCCACACTCGGATAGCTGGAGGAACTCGTTCCACGTCTATCCTAGGAGATGCTCTGCGGCGCATCTCTGAAAAAGAGTACCACGGATATGATAAGAAGTGCTAAATGGATGTATTGCACCTGATCTAGGTACTAAGTGAAGGTGCTGTGGTCCATGCGCACGGATGAGATTGAGCTTGGGCAGACACCAAATTATCCTGACCCAGTCCAAAATAGAATGATGATAATTTGGGTCCTATGCCCTTTCTTAGAAGTTCATAAGCTGTGATACCGGACAAGCTTTTAGAACTTCCTTCCATCCAATCATTTTACTATCGCTCAATCTTATCCTTCTTCATCTAATACTTCAACTTAACCAACTCCTTCCTCTCTTTTTCTACCTCCCACCCGCCCAATTTAGGAGTATGTTTGGGTTTTTGTGTTTTGCTATTAAACCTACTCCTTTCTTAGTTTTAAGATTGAGATACATACAAAGAAGACTAGCACATTGATCATTTTTCCTGTGGTCCCTATTGAACCTTTTTTGTTTTTGAAAAATTTAAATTAGAAATAAATACTAATTGAATAATAAAACAGTCAAAAAAGGTTTAATGACTAAGTTATAGGTGTTTTGCTATTAAACCTACTCCTTTCTTAGTTTTAAGATTGAGATACATACAAAGAAGACTAGCACATTGATCATTTTTCCTGTGGTCCCTATTGAACCTTTTTTGTTTTTGAAAAATTTAAATTAGAAATAAATACTAATTGAATAATAAAACAGTCAAAAAAGGTTCAATGACTACCCACACTCGGATAGCTGGAGGAACTCTTTCCACGTCTATCCTAGGAGATGCTCTGCGGCGCATCTCTGAAAAAGAGTACCACGGATATGATAAGAAGTGCTAAATGGA